ATAATTTTTTTATAAATATAATAATTAAATATTTTGTTATAATTAATGATTATCCTAATTATATTTTAGATTTTTTATATTTAAAATGAGATGTTTATCACGTATTTAATTATGTTTATCGATAATTAGTTACACAAATTTAAAAATGAAGCTTCAATAAGTTGTACTTATACACAATTTACTTGTCATCTTGAATTATAAGTAATATGCATCAATAAACAGTACCTTATGCATAAAAATGATTTTTAAGAGTTTTTGTCAAATGCTTTATCATATAACTAGAAGGGTGCTCGCATAATATAGCGAGATATATATCAATTTTAATGTTTTGTTTTATTATTTATCTATGTCGATATAATACGGTTTTTAGTGGTTTTGAGAAAGCGATAATGTTTTTATTTTTGAATAAAATATAAATTTAAATATATTATAAAATTTTGGAATATATATATATATATATCGATATTAGAATCAAATTTACTATTTAAGGGAATTTGATGTAGTGGTGGGTATGGACTAACTGTCAGAGAATCAAAAAAATATTGTATGTAACAAGAAAATGATACGTATTGATCTATCGGGTAAGGGGCTGATTGTAATTTATGGTGATCGGCGGGATCATCATATGAGTCTGATTTCTATCTTAAAGGCTCACAAGTGTGTTAAAAAAAGGGGTGTCAAAGCTTCTTGGCATATGTAATTGATTCTAAGAAGGAAAAAGATCGACTGGAATCTATTCCAGTGGTTTATGTTTACCTCCAGATTGGTCAGTCGAGTTTCGAATTGATCTAACACCAGGAGCGGCATCGGTAGCTCGTGCACCGTATCGTTTGGCACCGTCTGAGCTGAAAAAGTTGATGACACAGTTAAAAGAACTGCTGGATAAATGTTTCATTAGACCGAGCACATCTCCTTGGGGTGCTCTAGTTCTATTTGTTAAGAAAAAGAATGGGTCGACGCGGATTTGTATAGATTACCGAAAATTGAACAAGTTGATAATAAATAATAAATATCATTACCTAGAATCAATAATTTATTTGATCAGTTAGTCGGGGCAAGCTATTTCTCCAAAATTGACTTACGGTCGGGTTATCGTCAATTGAAAGTCGGGGATGAAGATATAACCAAAACTGCTCTCCAAATGAGATATGGGCATCATGAGTTTTTGGTTATGCCATTTGATTTGACTAACGCACCAGCTGCTTTTCTTTATCTCTCAAATTCCATTTACCCAAACAAATTATGGCTTTAATTGAGCAACCCTGGGTTTAATACATCTTAATGTTGTATTTATCTTCCTTTTATTAGTTAGGTTGTTACGTAAATTGTTTTGAATTATGGTAACAAAGGTGTAGAAGGAGAATATTAATACCTTTTAATATTTATATGACATTCAAATATTATCATCTCCATCTTCTAGAATTGAAGTCCCTGCATGCAGAAAATATGTTGAAAATTTAGAGCAAATGTGATTTAAGAATGATTGAAAAACCCTACGAAATTAACATCATTTATATACCTGCTGCTGTTTGGTGTTAATTATAAAGGAGTTGAGGCCTTCCTCTTTTACTAATTCACACCTCCCAAAACTTGTATCAATTACTTGTAGCTCTGGAGTTGCTGAATGTGCCTTTGTGAAAACTTCTATTGATGGGCAACACTTGATTTCCAAGGTATCCAAGGATGGCCATGATAAAGCCTCATTTCCTAAGTAACATCCCTTGAGACTTGGAAGCTTGATGAGTATTAAGGACTTCAGTTGAGGTAACATAGTAATAATCTCATTCACTTTCCCATCACGTTCTTCTTCTTCTTCCTTAACAATTACCTCCATATTTTTGCAGTAGCTTATATGTATCTCTTGGAGTTGCAATAGACTACCAACCATGGAACTACCAAACACATGTCTTAAACTTTCACATCCACGGATACACAATTTTGTTAGGTTTGGAAACTTAAGTACCATCCATGGGTTGTTCTTCCATATATACTCGAGTCTATCAAGACAATCTAAATCCACTTCTGTTAGCTTTGGAATTTCTACAACAGATTGTGACTCGCTGCTACTTGTCCCTTCCAATGCTTCAAATACATTCACTACCAAATCACAGTCATATAGACGGATCTTTTCCAGCTTTTGCAGTTGCGACAGCTCATTGGATGGAATAATCGTTTTAACATCGTTGTTTTCACTTGCATCGATTTCAATCAAGTTATGAAAAGACCAACGTGTTCCTTCTGAAGTAGTAGCGCATGAGTTTGTATTGTCTAAACTTGAGCATGGGATCTGGAAGTCCAAAAAAAAACACAAATATAGGTTATATGAGATGCGGATATATTGATGAGATTGGAAGAGTAATAAATAATAAAGGATGATTATAATCAATAAAGGCATCATCATCATCATCGTTATCGTTATTGTTATTGTTATTATTAACCATGATAATTAACTCCAACCCATAGTTTTGTTGGGTTAATGTTGGGGGCCAAGTGTGCCGGACCGGAAATACGCATTTATTTTGATCGTCTTTTACTTTTTGTTTATTTATTTTCAAACTTTGATCGTTGGGAAAATAGAAATTTTTAACGGGACCAAAAACATAATTTACTCTAGATAAAACAAAAAAAGAATGCATACATTACCTGTTTCTGACCCTAGATGGGGACCCTTAAAAAGTTGCTGACGCATATTACGTAGGATTCAAAACGGGACTCGGACTTGCTTTGAGATCCAACCAAAACAGTTGGTGTTTTCAATATCTATATATGGAAGTCAGTCCTGTTTTGGATATTTTTGTCCTTCAAATTGGAAAAAGTTGATTCAAGGCATATATTTTTATGGACAAACTAAACTTTTAGATAAACTAGCTAGTATCAATGTGTTCAATAGCTACAAAATTAAAAGCTTGAAACATACCTCATGCAAAGTGGACCCCATCACAGGAAAGTTAAGACCACATTCAAGACTATATTTGCCAAACTCTGTGTGTATGTAATTGAGCTTTGGAGTTATCGAGAGACCAGATGTGAACACCGTCATTTGGGGGCAAGCGTCAATCATAACGTTATCTAGTAATGGCCACTCGAACTCATTCTTCCCCAAGAAGAAACCCGTGAGATTTGGTAGATCTCTTAGTTGAATGAACTTTATACGAGGAAAGACCACAACCTTAGATGATATCGTTGTTTGCTCTTCATTGTCTTCCTTCACAATCACTTCCAATGCCTTGCAACTGATTATCCTTAACTTTTCGAGCTGCGTGATGCTTTCAAGTGTGGAACATGTGAGCACATGTTTCAAAAGGTCACAACCTTTGATTACCAATTTCTTTAGGGTGGACAGCTGAGACGCATTAATATTTTTCCTTGTTGGAATTACCAGTGTGTTATGATCAGTACCACCACTTGTTCCATTAATCTTGAACCCTTGAGTTTCAAATACCTCCGCCAGCGATTCGCAATCCTCTATTTTCAGCTTTTCAAGCTTTTGCATTTGTCCAAGTACACAGGATGGAATCACATATGGCAATGCTTGACAATCGTGTATCCTTATCTTTCTAAAGTATTGGCATAAGGACCAAGCAACATCATTTACTTGAGATAACTGCAGTAATTAAATATATATAGAATCATTTACAAAACTATTTGTAACTCTAAAAACGTTGTTGCATTAAAGATTTGTTTTTATTCATGATGTATAATATTATTTAGAATTTTGAAATTAAGAAAACTCATTTATTAAATGATACCGAATTTACAGGTGAAATTAAGGAGATGCAATCTTTATGAATGAGCCAGCCACATTACATTAATCTTGACATGAAACTATAATGAATTAAAGTTTAATCTTAAATATTATTATTTGAGTTTTTAATGATTGATAAAACATAACTTTTGGATCATCATTAAGATTTTTATATATATCTATATTGTATTATAAAGCATTTGACAAAAACTCTTATATACCACTTTTTATGCGTAACGTACTGTTTATTAATGCATATTACTTAAAACTCAAAATTGCATGTAGATTGTGCGTAAGTACAACTTATTAAAGCTCCCTATCGTAATTTGTGTAACTAACTGCAAATAAACATAATTAAATACAAAATAAATATATCATTTTAAATATAAAAAATCTAAAATATAATTAGGATAATCATTGAAATTCTAACATAATA